TACAGTGATTTTCTAAAACCTGTTTATCCAACTCACAATTATCCAAATTGGATGAGTCTTGTAACAGGTTAATTCATTCATTATTTTATGTCTTTAAGCTTAGCCTTAAAAAACATCCACTTATTTTAAAATTTACTTAAAGCTAGAACAAAATTAGATTATCTATGTTATTGGCATTTAGCAATTTTCAATTAAGTTCAACAGGAGATATAATATATAAGTTCAAAGTTCATAATATACATTAAAAGCAAAGATTTATTAGGATTACAGGTTTGTATGCAGAAAATCATGGTTTTGGTGCCAATTATATGTGGGACAGAGTTAAGAATCGACAGTTTTGGAAAGGTAAAACAAATCGCATTGGTGATACCTGGTGGCCTGATGGTGTGGTACCAGCGTGGTATACCACAGGTAAATCAAACGTTGATGTGCACTGCTATTGGATGCCAGGATGTGATGTAAGTTTAGATTTATTGTTAAAAAATAAAAATGAAGAACTTAGTGATCATTATTAATGTTCTAAATTATAAAAATAAGTTCAAGTGAAAAATAATCGGCTAATATCTTGTACAAGGCAATATCACGTTTGTGTATTAAAACTTATCATAATTGGTTCATTCCTGGATAAGTAACATAATAGATAAGGGTTAAAGGTCAGATAAAAGATGGTCAATAATTGAAATACAGATATTTTGTCAGCAAAAATAAGTAAGCTATCAACTCTTTTATCCTCTTCCTTTTACTACTATTTTTTGCTTTGGTCATTTCTTCATGTCATATTTTCCTTAATGTGGATTTTTTTTAATTTAGATATCTTAAATAAGTAATATTTGCAGCTTCCATATCAAGATATAATTGTACAGATACCAGAAGAGCGGAAGTATAATATTTCATTACCCGACCAAACTGATGCACTAATGAGCTATTTTCCGGAAATAATCGAACGAATTAACAAATATCAATCATATAAGCAACAAGTAATTTAATTTAGTGATAAAACAATTTAGTACAATTTCTTAGCCAACAATGAAATAATTTTTCATTTTCAATGTATAATGTTGAATCTAATTATAATCATATAATTGATATGATTATCAGTAAACAGTATTGTTTAATGTCGTACTCAAATGATTTCAAATATTTCAGTTTTTTCTACTTCGATATGGTGGGGTGCAGGTAGCATTGGAAACATTTGGACTCTATAGTGATGAGCTAAAACAAGCTCTAATTAACGTCGATTTGAGTCTTCTTTTGTTACAGGTCATTCATTTCAATCTTTTTTTTACTTTTACTTATTTCAAAATTATTTTCGGAAAAAATATTTCAGAAAAAAATATTCGAATAGATATCATCAATATGTGAAATATCTCTCTGTTCACATTACAGCAAAAACTCGAAGCAGCGAAACTTTTTGAATCCACAAATTTGATGGTAATTTCAACACATGGCTTATATACAGTAGAACAAGAAGAGCAATTTTTCATCGAAGAATGCTTAACGGATTATTCAAAAATTCAAAAAGTAGTTAATCATCATGCAATGATGATGATTTTCACAAATCCGGATGAGGCTAACGAGGTATCTAAGCCATTTTTATTATACTAAATAGATCAGTTTAATAAAAATGAGTTAAAATTACCGTTTCAATTATGGAAAATCGTATATGATAAGACGTATATGCGTGTATAGATATGTATATGTATAGAATCCTTATCCAGAATTATGAAGATTTTCCGATTAAATTTGAAAAATTTCCGACTACATCTAATAAATAAACAAAATGCACATAATGATGTTTGCATATTTCACAGTTTGTCATACTCCTAATATATATATACCACACACTGTCACTTTTAATTGAAAAGGAAAGCGTTGTTGAAATTTCTTAGATAATTGGTTCTCATGAATTGTTCTATTCCTAAATTTAGTTATTACCGGAACTACGATAGTACTGTAATGACATAATTTTTTTTAAGGTATTTTTTGAGTTGAAATTGTGCGATCAATGGGCACCAATGGGTGATTATGATGAAAATGAACAACCACTTGTATCAGTTTATCAAACAACCGAATTACCGGATCGTTTCCATTGGAAAAATTTTCAATATATGCCAGAAATTGTATTAATCACTCGACCAGGTGCAACTGTCTTGACGGTATATCATCATTACATTCCGGTTGTCTACATCATTTCGAATATTGCATAAATTTTCTTAAAGATACTTTTTTCATATTATTTACTTAATGATACTTTTTTTAAAAGGATTTACAGAAAAATAAAGAAAAAAGAAAAAGAGATATTAAAACTTTCAGAAATGTAATTGTTATATGAAATGAATTCCTTTACTATTTCTATTCTTCATTATCAATTAATTAAATTAAGAATAGATGTAATGGATAGGATAATTTGAAAGATTATAACGAAATACCATTTTTACAGCGTGAACTACCATCTTTACCACCACATGACGAACAAGAAAAAGACATTTTATTAACTGATGGTTGGGATAATGAAAATTTCAATATGCATGGCATTTTTTTTGCTCGAGGACCTGGTAAGTTCTCGAAACTTTGCATTACCTTATCTAATAGGTATGTAATATTAGGTGATTTTTTATTACTATAATCAAATTCATCTTAATTTTCAATCATCCAAAATTTTGAATTAATTTTTGAAGCATTTTTTTCTATCAAAATTATTATTATTTCTTTTAGCCTTTAAAGAAGATTATGAAGCCTCAGATATCAGTGTAGTCGACATTTATCAGGTAAAATCAATTCCTATATTTACTATTTAGAGCTTTTGTTTTTTTCACAAATTTTTACCCTTTGAAATGTAACTTATAATTCAATCTTCTCCCACATCATCATTCGCTCTATATTAAACTCAAATATTCTCGGGATATATTATAATTTTGTAGGTAATGATGAATATATTTGGGATCGAGCCGCCATATCGACATAATGGTACATGGTCTAATATCGAAGATTTTCTAAGCGGCGGTTGGGAAGCCCGATCGGTTCCTGAGAATATGAGGGCATTTACTGTTACCAGTTGTCAAATATCTTTAATGTGCTTCACCATACTGATCTCATTCTTTATCATACATAATCAATTTCTATCGTCGCTGATATTATGACAGTTGAACTTAAGAGTGTATTCAGTTCAATGCATTCCCGATACTACTGCTTATGTTTACTCTTCATTCCTGCGGAAAAAAGAAGGAGAATGAAAACGTAAAAACTTACAAAAGTATACTAAAAATATTTTCAGAAACCATATTATTTCGAATTTTCCTGTCCAGAATATATTAAGATTTCTTCTTTATACTTGCAGTAATACTGGAGCAAGGCACTTAAAGATTCTAACATCACAGCTATTTTAGTGTATAAGTGAAGAGTGTGATAATCTTAGCATTCATTCATTATGACTGAAATAGAAGTCTGTGTAATTTATTCATCGTATTCCATCAAATCTTTCGGTCAAGGTTAATTTCACATTTGTTCTCCGATTTCTCCAAAACTCGTTCTAAAATTATCATTTCAATTTATCACTGGAAGTGTACAGTAAAGCATGACTTGATCGGTGCTATTAATTATCAATTCTTACCTCATCTGTTTTATAATTTCTTTCTTCCATTTAATTACATTACATCCTCACGTAATTTTAATCTATTCGATTTCAGTTCCACTTCATTGAAACATACAATTTATGATATCTACAAGATTCCTAACTGTGAGATTTCATAGACAAATACCGTCAGGTCCGGACATTACAACGCATTTTTCGTGGAAACACAATCTCTATCTTTACATCATTTTAAAAATTTGGATATATTGTACTAAACTTTGTGATTTAAAAGGTTCCGAGCAGCACTGCTCAAAAATTGGCAAGATTCGCAATCTGAAAGATCGTTCTTCATCACTATTTGCATAAGTAAACACATTACTACTATGAGTGTTAAGTTGGTAAATCGAATGCTGTTTTGCTGTAAAGGATGGATGAATTTTGCAATTTGCAAATGGATGTAATCATTTCGTAAAAATTTCCAGCTCTTCACCTGGTGTGTTACAAACGCTCTAAAACTTGAAAATTATTAAAACAATGTGCTGCAATGTCCCACCAATATTATGACTATCAAGTTTTGAATATTTAGAATTTCGAAGCTATAATAAAAAGTTCGATTTCCTCTTTTCTGTTTGATGAGTTGGATGGAAACGATAAATTCAAGCAGTGATTTAATTGCAAAATAGGAATAAAAAAAAATGTTTTCAAGGTTTTTTGTCAAATTTTCTGGTCGTCTTTATGATGAATTTTATGATGAACAGATACTTAAACTAAACATTAGGACCATCCTATACTCACCACACTCTTCTACCACTTGTAAAGAACGACTCAGCAACGCTGAACTCTACACAGAAACACAAATTGGGGCAGTTTCTGGAAAAATATGAAATGTGAGAAAATCAATTTTACAAAGGAAAAAACATAAAAATATTATAAATGAAAGAAATGGCGATAATAGACGAAATTCCACAACCCAGAAATAAAAGAACTTAACAGCATAAAAAAAAAACAAAATGAGAAGAAATTCAAATTAAACTAAACAATCCCGCACCACCAATAAAATGAACAAATGGATCAACAGAACCTAAAACGATACATAAACCAACCAGCTATAGCTAATAATCAAAGAACATAAGGTTATGTGCAGAACGAAAGAAAGTAAATACTGAAGGTATTTTTCTCAAAAGTATGTTGAACAAATCGTTCCAAAGCATGGCAATCGATTTCAGCATATATTTTTGAAATTAGGTAATTGAAATACAATTCAAATGTGGCATAAAAATCATAAAAATAACACGGACAACAACGAACAACAGTGATAACGTACAAGATAGAAATAACAACGTAAAACGCAGTGAAAGTTTTAATAAAGGCAGATGAGAAATTTTTTCAAAATATTCATGACTGCAAAACCTCTGAAGGATGAATCGGTTTATCCAGAAGTAGGCGTCAATAGACTGTGAAACGCAATTTTATAATAAGGATGGACTTTGATTCGGCGTCTCCTGTGAATATGATCTAAATTTGCTTCCGAAACATCATTGTACTGGATTTCATCTGCAGGTCTTTCCGCTTTACTGTAACTCACGTCATTATCTAAACCAGTTTCAGAAACGTCATCATAACCATCACTATCATGGTCATAGCATCCATTTTCATCAAAAACAGTTGAAAGCAGATCATGATTTTCCGAAACATATGATTTGGAACAATTAACGACCTCTTCCAAGCTATCGGATCCAGAAGGTGAGCAATTTTCAATAACTTTTGTAGCACTGCCACTCAAAGAAAAATTGCAGCCGTTGTAATAATTAGAAGCTGATCGAAGTTCCACATCGTCATCAGAGTACTGCTCACTTTTAACGTCATGGTCGTCAATGTCACCAATGCAGTTAAGGGAATCTTGTGATAAAGACATCAAATGAGATCTATCAATAAAGCTCATAGTGGTCGCAACAGCGGCAAGAATTTGCAAACCGTTTTGTGATGTATGCGGTTTTCCACAGCTCAACTGGCTAGACGTTCGATTATTCAACCTGCTAGAGCGATCAAGTTGTGTAGACCCATTTTTTGCTGATTTCCTTTGTTTTACAGTTTGGCATACACGAGGTTTTCTTCTCCGGACCAAATTACTCGACGTGTTCAAATCGCTTTCTTGCGAATGCTTTCCAACTCTAGAACTATCTGCTTTCGTACTATTCACAATCACGTACGGTGAAGTGTTCATCCAAGCTTGAATATTAGAATCAGCCGAACATGGCGATGAAGACAAAAACGTAGAGGAAGGCGTTCTTATAGTACGCCTAAGTCTCTGCTGATTTCTGTTAATACAGTGACCACTATTCATTTTCCTAGTCCTTTTTTTCGAACGACTCACAGAACCATCCGTTTGAAGTTCTGAAAAAAAATTTCGATATTATTTATTAAATATATTCGCTTCAAATTTCCAGAGGAAATTACTTCTGATTTAGTACTAAACATATGTCCTAAAACAAAGAACCACATATCTTCAGCTGAGAAGCGATGAGGTACATCCCGCAAAGCAGCAATAGTACGTCGACGAAGCGTCATTCTCGTGTTCAGCTGATTTGATTGTAGCATATAACGACAAAGCCTCGAATCGGTTGCACGAAATTTATAACTGTTACCGGATTCTTTTGATTCATCGTTATTTTTTTCCAACGAAGCAGCTGATACCACCAAAGTTGCGAAAAAACCTTTGCAAGCTCTGCAAACAGAATTTATTATCCACAAATCTAAAACTCCCTGAAAAAATCACAAACCTCGATTAAGCGATTGTTCTCCGGATATAAATAGGTTTACACAATAAGAAACGAAGGTGATAAAAATCGTATCAGGATTGCATACGGTATACAAACACTCACAGGCTACCATGTATAGACGGAGTGAGACCTAAAATGGTGGGAGAAAACAAAACGTAGAGTGGTGGTGGTAAGGCGTAAAACGCAAATTACGGAAGAACGGAAACATACCGCTCACAAGTCAAACATTCGCAGCGGCTATTGTTATCACCAAAAAAGTTATCACCATAATAAGCAGTAATTTCTTCCCCTAAAGCAATGTCACGCAGCACCTAAAATTCAATAATTTATTTATATCTGACAGTTAAAAAAAGACTACTGACACAATTCCATCGACTGAATAACTGAACGATACCTGTACAACCGCGGCGTAGCTATTTGGGACAAATTTACAATTGGGATAACAGTCGTGATTAATATAAGCAGCAGGACCAAGCCACAACTGAGCTCGTTGTTTCCTGGAATTATGCACAATGAAGTTATGGTAACCGAACAAATTGGCAATGAAATAAATGCCATACCTTGTACTATACATGACAGAAAAATCATTGACATCTTTTCGCAGTAATTGGGATTCTTCTTCGTGGCTGAGATCGCCAATAACACCCACTAAACTGCCAATCACATCACCTTTTTGCCTGGGATGATTAAAATAAGACAGCTTCGTAAACTGTTCCATTACGTACGATAATAACTTATACATAGGGCAGAATAAAACGACTGTACTATTATTTAGCATAAATTAAAACTAATACAAGATGTCGGAACATCTCGAAAATCATTACAGGAATACCGACAGTCATTATGGCGGTTCCATAACGAGTTGATAATGAAATTTAATAAATTTTAGCAAAAAAGCTACATGTACCATGACTTCGTAGCAACTAGCATTCCACCAAGGCGATTTTCCGTTTTGTAGCGATGACATGCTTGAACTGTAAAACCGGAATCGTTGGAAAACATTCGCATAAATCGCAAAAGCTGAAAATATGAAAAAATTGTGACACCGCTTATACGTAATGATTGGTGAAATGTAGTAATGAAAAGGTGAGACTTACGTGATCTCGGAAAGCAAGCTGCTGCTTTAACGTTCGTCGTTTCAAGAATCTTGTTACTGCGTTCACATGGAAAATATCCTGAATCGCTCTGCACAAATCCTGATCCTCTTTGTATTTCCTCAATATGTTTTTCAATTCGATTTGTTCCTCGTGTTGTGGTGGACGGTAACTGTAAGCATTGTCGGTAGATACGAAGTACAAGTAATTAATTAGCTGATTTATTAACAACACACTATGACTTGTTAACTGATAAAATTACTCTGAAGAGAGCATGCATTATGTGCTAATTACTTGTATTAATAACTAAACCATATTTAGCTATAAAATTTTTTTTTTTTTATATACTAAATCATATTTAGCTATAAAATCTAAATCATATTTAGCTAAAATCTAAATCATATTTAGGTTTATACTAAATCATATTTAGCTATAAAATCTACTATTTCAATGGTTTAGAAATGACAGTTTGATTAGGCATTTTGATAATTTAATCTAACATTTCAGTGATCATCGGATTATTTTCAAGCGATAATTATACTCACTGAAGACTCATTTTATGAGTGCGAAAACCGAGAATCGGATCAACGATAACGCTGGTTGCCATATCATCGTTATCACAAAGTTCTCGTATTGTCATGTTGTGCTGCCCCGATGAACGCTCCGGTAGCCGGAATAATTCCGAATTTAAATTCATAACGAACGTGGTGCGCTCACCCACAACACAAGCACACCACCCGCCGGAAAAATCAAAGAGAAACTAGACTGAAGCTTTCTGAAAACATTAAGCAGTTCTTGCAAATTGTCGTTGAAAACGAATTTGCCACCCTAACAGCTTCATATCATCACTAAGTAATTTGATTTATTAATTAATTTTTATAATTATCGCTGAAGAAAGAGTTTGCACATAAGATTTCAAAACAAAACTTGGAGAAGTAATCAAAGACAGAATAAATACGCAGTATGCAGCACATCTTTACTTCTAGAAGGATACCGTCATGAACATAACATGGTCACAACACGAACATAATACTATACGTGATCGTTATTAATTATAATTGTTATTAATTATTGCTATCAATTACTGTAGCCAATGAAAAACTATCAATGAAATTATCTCCTGAGAAGAACGAAATATACAGATATTTACTAACATAATATGTTTTGTCTTACTAGCATGCTATATTTCCCTTTTCATTTACAACGAATATTTACGATATCAGCTATATGATTATTTAATCTAAAGAATAAATCTTTTCGATAAAAAAAACAAAATTTTTTTTCAAATAGATTTTTCAGACAAATAAAAAAACCTTTTTTAGTCTCTGATGTAAACATTAGATAAAAATTAAAAATAATTTAATTAATTAACATGCTAAATATCATTCTATCAATAAATCCATCATAATAGAAATGAGTAATAGAAATGTTTAAAATATTTACAAAAGGAATATTACAATTATAGAAATATTTAAATGTTTACAATAGAAATGTCTACAGTAATAGAAATGAGACAATCTAACCGGTTATTCTAAATATTCATCCATAGTTTCCGGTAGATCGCGTTCAATTAGTCATTTCCAATGTATCGTATCTCTTGGAACATTTTCATATATTTCTTATTGATCTGTTTCTGTTTATCTGTTATTCTGTTCCGTATTGATTCATTGCTTGGAAAAAAAAGAACTTTTGATTTAAGTGATTCAAATTACATTTCATACATAGTTTTCAGTTGAACGGATGAGAATGATGTTCATGGAAAGAATTGGATTCATTGAAATTCTGTGACTTCTCTTTCAAATTTTTCTAATCAATTTAATTAAGTATTTAATTATAAATATGCTATCATACAGAGCCTAAAATATTCTAAACTTTTGATTTAATGGATTTACTTTTTAAGATTGTTTGAATATTAATTACCATTTTGATATTATTGATATGATGATACATTAACAGTTTATCATTTTAATGCACATATTTATCATTTTCCCATAAATTATCTTTCCATTGCTCGTATTCGTTATTTCACTTTTACAAGTAAAAAATTTGGCAAAATATATTATCTATAAATATATTTTGTTGATATTAAAATGTTAATAGACTAGGGCATTAAAATTTTAAACATATATTCTAAATTGAAGTGCTAGAATTTAGTTTAACCTATGACATTTTTGAGACTAACTCATAGATCAGAGATTTTCATTACATGTAATGTATTAAATGATCTTCAATATAAGAAAAAATTTAACTATTGTTTACTTCTTTAATTTAGTATGTCTCGGCGGATTCTTGTTGCTGCTTGCGGTGTTCCTAAAACGTTCGTAGAAGAAACCATTTAGACCGGTTATTGCACCGAATTTAAAAATGTTTCGCTGGCAGTGTTATCGCAATTGCCGCAAAATTTTGCAAACCTCGATGACTAGTATTTACAACGATCATGAAAACGATCATTCGACCATCCCATCAACACCCACAATTCATCGCGATTCACCGCAATTGCAGATCATAACCGTGAATTTTCTCCCTCTGTATATCATTTCATCCTCTTTCTCGTCTTTTAGTAATTCCTCGCAATTCATAATTTTGAAAACGTCTAATTAAATGAAATTGTTTGGATAGATTTCATACTGAGCAAAACGACCCGAAATTTCTCAATCATTGCTTACATCTTTCGTATATTTATCCGAAATAAAATTTAGTAATTGATAATCAATTCAAAATTTAATAATTTATAATCAGTATGTATTTCTATACGGTTGCTCGTTTTACTACGTTCACGTAGTAGCCGAATGGCGTTATCGGAGAAGTCAAAAGCGTAGAAATTCCAGTGCGGATAAAGATGCATCAGAGGGAAAAGTAGATTGCC